GATTAATTGAATGAGCAAATAAATATTTTGACCGCAAATCCACCTCTACTTTTTATTCCTCTTTTTTTGTTTGCTTTCACTCCAGAATACAAAAAGCAGCGACGTCTGAATTACGAAAATACGAGCTGTCCGGCGAACGGATAAAAAATACGGAAAATCTTATTTTCTGTGCGTGAAATCGGAGAAAATAGCTATTATAAGTAAAAATGCGGAAGGGTTAGCAGCTAGGACGAAGTTTGAATTTTCAGTTTTTCTTTGAAAATCGTAAATAAATATAATTATTTTACTTCAACGACTGAATTTTCACAAAAAAGATGAATTGATTTTTAGAGAAACTTCAGAAGGAGGAATGAGAACTTCAATAATTTCGATCCGTGGAAAATTAAATTCCTCATAAAATATTTTAACTTGTGCAGAAAAAAAAAAATTTCAGCGGAAATTAGCGGGAAAAATGGAAAAATCAGTAAAAAAGCGGAAATCCGCGAAACCGCGGAAGAATCTCATCCCTGTAAAGAGTAAGCGTAGAGGTATTCTATTTTGGGAATTCAAGGCTGAAAACATACCCAGGGTTGCCACAGAAAAAAATGAACAAAATAGTTGCTTTTAGTAGCCTAAAGCATGAAAATAGAAGCCAAAAACTAGGAAAATAGCTGCCTAATAAGAACAAAAATTCATCAAAAATATGACTAAAATTTTGTTAATGACTTAATTGTCATATACCATCATCCATTCAGTCAAGTTGGTGGCAAATATGATAATTTTCATATAAATGTTTATATATATATATATATATATATAAAGTGATTACTAAAATTCGAAATTCATGCATTGTAATACCGTTAAAATTTCTTTTTTTTCAAAAAAAAAAATAAATAATAAAAAAAATCATGCAGAATTTTTTAGTGATAATCATTGAAAAGGTGATCAAGATATGAAATAGACTTACAATGGAATTTGTGCAGATTGAACGAATTAAAAAGTGAAGACTCAAATTTGCAATTCAACATTTTTTATTTTTTATTCATTTTTATTTTTTTTCACCAATTTATGCTTGAAAAAAAACATCTCTAGGAGTACAGAAAAGAGACCCAACAGTTTCCTTTTCTTGAAAATAGTTGCTTTTTTTAGCCTTTTCAGGCAAAAAAAGTTGCCATAGTCGCTTCATGCCAAAAAATGTTGCAAATAGTTGCATTTTGGTCGCCTGTGGCAACCCTGTAATCAGGCATAATGACCACAGATTTGATTAACATTTTTAAAAAAGTATTTTACAGATTTCAGTTTTCATTTTTTTATTTCTTTAAAGAGCTTATTGATAAGAGAATAATAAAATTTTGCAAAATTATTTCAAACATAATGTTTGACAAACAAAACTACTTCATTGGAATACAGCTAGTAAAAGAGAAAAATGAAAAATTACGTGAAGTAACAGAAATAAAAAAATTAGATAGCATAAAATAATCCAAATCAAGAAGTTTATTTACTGAAAATAATACCAAGACAAGAAGTTTGCTTACAATTTTGTAAAAATATGTTAGTGCTCCGAACTAGCATTCAACTTTCTTAGTTTTGCTGACTAGTAGAAATTAAGACAATTAACGCTCGTTAGCACAACTCTTTCTATTACTACAACCCTTCCATTTTAACGACCAATATATGAAGTATCACAAGCTTTTCGATTCCATAGACGTAGTGTTATTGTAATGTCCATCAGAGAGCCCGAACTGAACTGTTCATTTCAATATAGCACCTGAAATTTTATCTTTTTGCTTAATTCTAAGAAAATTACTTCAAAAACAGAGGTTGAATATTATTATGTGCTTTTTAAGTAAACATTCTCTCCAGGAAATAATTCAAGCTAATATTTAGTTTGATGCTATATTATAATAGTTTTATGCCAATAAATCTTTATAAATAAAAAAAAGGACACTTTATTCTTACCCTACGTAGTCAGGCCTACTTTATAGTCAAAAAGAGGGTGAAATATTGATCACTTTTCATTATAGAGATTTTGAANGATGCTATATTATAATAGTTATATGCCAATAAATCTTAATAAATAAAAAAAAGGACACTTTATTCTTACCCTACGTAGTCAGGCCTACTTTATAGTCAAAAAGAGGGTGAAATATTGGTCACTTTTCATTATAGAGATTTTGAAGCGTATATTGTGTTCCTATACGAAAATCGGAGTCACACCTGTTTGCATTCATAACATTTATAAATTTCTGTACAAACGTTCAATTAATTCATGAATCTTGTTTTTTTTCATTTGAAGGTGGCATTTACTCTTTTGCAATGTGATTAAGTGGCTTATTTTGGAATAAAAACACATAGTATTTATAACATTCTTCTTAATTTTATTTTTGCTAAGTATTTCTTTGGAGGCATGTTATTTAACGAAAATGGCTGCTTGTAACCAANGGCTTATTTTGGAATAAAAACACATAGTATTTATAACATTCTTCTTAATTTTATTTTTGCTAAGTATTTCTTTGGAGGTATGTTATTTAACAAAATGGCTGCTTGTAACCAATGTAAACATCATACGTTTCAAACAAAAATTAAAAATGTTGAAGGAAGCTGATAAAAGAATAATCGTTCAATTCTTTATCAATTATTATAATTGTTTCTTCATGAAGAATACAATGTAATAAAACTGGATGTTTCATTCTTATGATTTATCAATAATATGAAAAAATTATTGCTTACTCATCCATTAATGTTATTTTTTCACATTCAACAGAAGTTGCTTTAGCATCAGACTTTGTATTAAATCTTTTTCACCTAAAACGAAGAAGGAAAAATTCAATGATTTCAATTTTTATAGGCTAACCATATTTGCAATTCAAAATTTTTAAAATTTTTTTATTTTTTATTCATTTTTATTTTTTTTCACCAATTTATGCTAGAAAAAAAAACATCTCTAGGAGTACAGAAAAGTCACCCAATAGTTTCCTTTTCTTGAAAATAGTTGCTTTTTTTTTTAGCCTTTTCAGGCAAAAAAAGTTGCCATAGTCGCTTCATGCCAAAAATAATTGCAAATAGTTGCATTTTGGTCGCCTGTGGCAACCCTGTAATCAGACATAATGACCACAGATTTGATAAACATTTAAAAAAAAGTATTTTACAGATTTCAGTTTTTATTTTTTTATTTCTTTAAAAAGCTTATTCATAAGAGAATAATAAAATTTTGCAAAATTATTTCAAACATAATGTTTGACAAACAAAACTACTTCATTGGAATACAGCTAGTAAAAGAGAAAAATGAAAAATTACGTGAAGTAACAGAAATAAAAAAATTAGATAGCATAAAATAATCCAAATCAAGAAGTTTATTTACTGAAAATAATACCAGGACAAGAAGTTTGCTTAAAATTTTGTTAAAACATGTTAGTGCTCAGAACTATCATTCAACTTTCTTAGTTTTGCTGACTAGTAGAAATTAAGACAATTAACGCTCATTAGCACAACTCTCTCTATTACTACAACCCTTCCATTTTAACGACCAATATATGAAGTATCACAAGCTTTTCGATTCCATAGATGTAATGTTATTGTAATGTCCACCAGAGAGCCCGAACTGAACTGTTAATTTCAATATAGCACCTGAAATTTTATCTTTTTGCTTAATTCTAAGAGGATTACTTCAAAAACAGAGGTTAAATATTATTATGTGCTTTTGAAGTAAACATTCTCTCCAGGAAATAATTCAAGCTAATATTTAGTTTGATGTTATATTATAATAGTTTTATGCCAATAAATCTCTATAAATCAAAAAAAGGACACTTTATTCTTACCCTAAATAGTCAGGCCTACTTTATAGTCAAAAAGAGGGTGAAATATTGATCACTTTTCATTATAGAGATTTTGAAGCGTATATTGTGTTCCTATACGAAAATCGGAGTCACACCTGTATGCATTCATAACATTTATAAATTTCTGTACAAACGTTCAATTAATTCATGAATCTTGTTTTTTTCATTTGAAGGTGGCATTTACTCTTTTGCAATGTGATTAAGTGGCTTATTTTGGAATAAAAACACATAGTATTTATAACATTCTTCTTAATTTTATTTTTGCTAAGTATTTCTTTGGAGGTATGTTATTTAACGAAAATGGCTGCTTGTAACCCATGTAAACATCATACATTTCAAACAAAAATTAAAAATGTTGAAAGAAGCTGATAAAAGAATAATCTTTTCGTTAAATTCTTTATCAATTATTATAATTGTTTCTTCATGAAGAATATAATGCAATAAAACTGGATGTTTCATTCTTATGATTTATCAATAATATGAAAAAATTATTGCTTACTCATCCATTGAAATCATTTTTTCACATTCAACAGAAGTTGCTTTAGCATCAAACACCAGACTTTGTATCAAATCTTTTTCACCTAAAACGAAGAAGGAAATATTTAATGATTTCAATTTTTATAGGCTAACCATAACAGAAAGAAATATTTTTAGTTCCAAAAAAAAAAGAATAAAAGCAGTAGGTTTGCTTTTTTGGCAATGTCATAATAATATAGATAAATTTGAAGATAGTTAAAAGTAATATTAATAAATGTAATATGTTTGCTTCCAATCAGTAGTTAGTGAAAGTCACCTAGGAGTTAAGGGCATCAACAGAAATTTTTCTCAGGGGGTGCAACTAGCAAAATGGTCCTTTAAATAATTCAAAAACCGTTTTTTATTGCAAAATATATTTATATGTGTTGTAGATCAGAGATTTTCACAATTTCAATAATTTAACTGGAGCTACAAAGCAAACAATTTACAATTTTTATTAATATGAAAAAATTAAACAAATAATAAATAACAAACTTTATTTAAGTTTTTTAATTAAAATATAGTATGAGCTCAACAGGAATATACAGAGCTCTAGTGTTCCATAATTTTAAATTTAATATTAAATAATTGTTTTTGCTATATCTTCCAATCAGAAAAAAATATATTCATCCATCCATCGTTTCAACAATCAATGCAGGTATAATAGTTAATTTTAAAGATATAAATTTAAAAATGGAACATTTGCAAAAAGTTTATAAACCAGACATTTTTTTCTTCAAAACTTTGATTTTTATTGATTCTACAAATAACTTTACTAAGCTAGTGTTTTTTAAATTTAACCCGTTTAAGAACCAGTTATCCAGTTGATTTAATTATGTCTTAATTTTCTTGAAGTGATTATTTAAATTATATAAATGTCTGTCCTCAAGACATTAGTATGTTCCTGATTTTGTTTTTATGTCTTGTTATGAGCTATTATGCAATATAGAAAACAAATGTTCTTCCAAATACTACAGTTTTCTTACTTGAAAGTGACCTCATTTTTTATGGTTTTAGAATTGGTTAACAAAGAGAAATTTTACAACTGTTAAACTGTATTACGTAACTAAGTGCTTATTTCTCAAATAAATCAATATTATGTATCAATTGTTATATTGATACATAAAGATTTAATGGCAAAGAAACTAAAAATTCATAAAAGATTTTAGTTAAAACGAATTGTTTTATTAAAACAAATAATTATTTAATATCTACAAAATTAAATAAATATAAAATAAGAATGGGTTCAAAATGAGAAATTTTCAATGTTACATTGATACATAAAGATTTAATGGCGAAGAAACTAAAAATTTATAGAAGTTTTTAGTTAAAGCAAATAGTTTTATTAAAACAAATAATTATTTAATATCTACAAAATCAAATAAATATAAAATAAGAATGGGTTCGAAAACAGAAATTTTCAATGTTACATTGATACATAAAGATTTAATTGCAAAGAAACTAAAAATTTATAAAAGTTTTTAGTTAAAGCAAATTGTTTTATTCAAACAAATAATTATTTAATACCTATGAAATCAAATAAACATTTATACACTCACATATTGGTTTGTCAAATATTGGGGGACGGGTGCTGCTTGTTCTCCATCTAAAATTTTGATTAGCAAGAGAGTCAGTTCAAAACGTTCTAATACTGTCTTCAGCAGATGTATAACCATCATCCTTTTTTTGGGGGTTTTCACAATATACCCTAATATAAACAGAAATTAACAAAAATGTATTACAAAATGAAAAAATGGTAAACAGTAGAAAATTAAGTGTAAAAAAATACAGAATTGGAATAAATATACATCTCTAAATGAATACTTTGTACGCATAAAAGGCTAACATAACCCTAAAAAAAGGGATGGATTCGTTTCTTTCTGTTGGCCACAACAATGCCTCAATTGCATCAAGAAACGAAACACGAATAATTCCTGATCGCGAGCACTAAGTTGAATAGCAATGACTTAATGAAATTTGAGGATCAGGACCAAAAGTCATAGAATAATTCAGTTTTTGCCGCTATTTATCGCGACATAAATGAAAATTTTTGAATAAATTATTTAGGCCTAAATGGTGTGGAATTATGTTCCTTTTCATTCAGTTGAAGTACCTACTTTCCATGCAAAACCATTAATTGATCGACCCTTGCTGGTCCATGTAATTCTTTCATACAAATTAAATATTAAGTTTATTGTTACAGTCCTCTTTTCGTAATTTAGAATATTTCAAAACACTGACTCGATTCAGAAGTAATCGAAACGCACATGAGATGATTCAAAAGAATTAACAGAGAAAATTATTCCATGGCAGGGCCTGCGATAAAGATTTCAAATTATTAGCCAGTAAATTAACCAAATATCTTAAGTATTTGCCAATTTTTCAAAGTCTTTGCCAAATGCAAACCTTAAATTTTCATGATTCATTTTTTTTCTCACAGAAAATTATTTTACGGTAATTTGTTTTAAGCTTATATTATTTGGACCCAATTCTAATTGGTTATGTTGCGCATCCCTGAAAATTACCGCAATTGAACCCAATTCTAATTGGTTATGTTGCGCATGCGCATCCCTGAAAATTACCGCAATTGAATAAAAATATTGATTTGTTTAGAAAAATTCATTTTGAGGGTCGAGTTAAAGATAAATTTTTCTTTCCAGTGGAAAAAATAATTTGGCAAAACACAATTTAATTCATCAAATTCACGATTTTATCGCATTTGGCGAGGTGGCAAATACTTAGCACAGGCCCTGCATGGGTTGAAGAACAATGGTGAGCAGGGTTTGCAAACCCTTTGTTAATTAATAAAAACTTTTGCAAAGTATAGAGCTGTGCATTAGCTACCTATCACCCTTTTAGTTTTTTAAATTTAACTAAAACACTTTAGCCTAAAAGTTGATTGCTTAAAACTATTGAATTAAAACATTATTAAAAATGAAAATTGTTCAATAAAACTGAAATAATTAGAGCTCAGTCTATTGTAATTTTCAAAGAAATTAAGAACATCTAATTATCAATTGAATTTTTCTTCAAAATGCACAAATTTATAAACAAAGATATAGTATATGACTAAAATTAAAAATATTTTTGTATCCTTAAAAAAGATTCATGGGCAGAGTTAATGCATTCATTATCAATGCATGAAGAATTTCAAAAAATATTTCTAAAAATTTTAAGGGATACATGCCTTTGGTAAGTTTATTCACAATGACTTAATAAACAGAGAGAAAGTAATAATAATAAATGAATAAATAGTATTAGCAAGTTAATTTTAGTTTGAATCTCGATACTTACCAATCAGGATGGACTCGCCAGTTATCACCACGAAAATAGTCCATCCCTAAAACAACGAAAATAATTTATGTGAACGGTCAAACAAATTAAAAATAAAAATACAAGAATGATTTGAAATGAAAATTTTAATTAAAAAAAGTTAAATTATGAAGACATAAAAAAAAGTAAAAGAATTTTACATTAGTTTTGATTTTCTAAACATAAATAAATATAAAACATGAAGAAAAGGAGTATAAAAAATTTAGCACCTTTTCTTTACTTATGGAAAGCTAGTTTAAACTAGTCAATGTGTTAAAATAATAGTAACTCTCCAAACATTATTTAGACAAATGATTAATCTCTATGATCAATTATAACTTTCTTTCTTCTGCATGCAAGTCGAAAAAGGTTTTCTANATATTCCAGGAAGTTAAGCTTTAACTCTCAGTTAAAATTATAGAATTAGAAAATTTTTATTTCTATATCTTTACATAATTATTTGAACAAACCCTTGTAGACAAAATTTCATACTTCTATGAGAGAGAATGATGAAATTTGAAGAATAAAAGTTGATAAAATGTTATGCTACGATAAAATGTATGATAAATGTTACAATAAAATGCTGTTAGTTTTAAGGACTGGAATTTGAAAAAGAAAAATATCCATATTTATTTTGATAATATTGGCAAAAATCTTGGGTCCTAAATGATTTATTTTCTTAGGGACAGCAGAGAAAGAGAACACTTTAGGACCTGCTAAATGTTGTGCCTAAGACCTTACAAAGTCTGGAGATATTCTGAAATTGAATGTAATAAAACTTTTCATTACAGTAAATGAGTAAAAAATTGTGAAGTGTACATTGAATGGAACTTTTAGTATAGATATAGGGGCATCAGATATAGTAAAAGACTCTGCCTCCTGTTTTCTAACACTCATCAATCGCTAGGAAAGGGACTCATAACAGAATTTTTTTTAATGCTTTGGCTTCGCTAAGGCTCCAACAATTTTAATATATATTTATATGTGATTTTTAATTTCAGATTTGAAACTTTTATTACAAAGAGAAACAAAATAAGCAAATAAATAAAAAAATAACGTAATCATCAGCTCACATTAAAAATCTAAATTTAATATAATTCCCAGTTCAGATAGTTGCTCATTCTTAAGAAAATAATTGAATCTAATAAACTTTCGTTTAGAACTGATCTTAAATCATTAAATTACAAGAATAGCTTTTTTACCACAACTTGGGTAACAGACAATGTAGTTACAATGCAGCAGGCCTCTTGAATGTTTGTAGGACACGATGAAATTTCTGAAACATTGATGCATGAGTATGATAGAGCTGTCACTGCTTTAACAAAAAGGAGCAGTAGCAAGGAAGCCACTGTTGGCTATAAAATCCCAAGACAGGGGGCCGCATCATAAAAAACATCACACTAGGATCGACCAGTGGTCAATTCCCACTTCCATGTTGAGACTATCCCTGCATGTGTGGAGATGAAGGAGAATAGATTCGTTCAAAGGGAACTTACTTTATTTAAAAACAATTCTCTCAATTTTCATCATTATTTTGGAAGAGACACTGGAATGTTCACAAATTCCATTGTGACAGAGGGAACCTCAGATGAAGCATCTGCTCCCCTCTACGCACGCTCTATAATAAATCTATTTCTTATTATATGTAAGTGATTAACTTATCCAAATGAATTAGGCTGCATAAATTTAAGTCTAAGGTAAATCTTACCTCGAGCACGATCGACAATGGAATATGCGTCGATCCAGGTATTTGAGCTTGTTAAGGTTTACCTGTACAGTTAAATGGTAGGTACTAGGCACAATGGGAAAAGTATTTTAAGAAAATTAGGCAGTGGCCAGAAGGTTGAAACGGGGTGGGTGGGGGTGCTGTGATAGCATTAGCACAGTGGGGGAAATTTAGAGCTACAGCTCCAAGGAAAATAAAGCTTAGGGGTGATCTGGCTCCAGCTCTCTACCCAGGAGAATTGCTTCGCCATTCTACACTATAATCATAATTACAATAAAATACTTTTGAAGAAAATATCATAAAGGGAAGCATGCTAACTTTACTATAGAAGAGTTTAAAGGAAAATAAACAATATTAATAAAATATGAGAAACATAACAACATAGAAACTAGTGTTATATTTATGGGCACAATTTTATTTAATTTTTTTGGGCACCGCATTTTAATTTAAATAATCTCATTCTGCATTTTAATCTATTTTTTACTTTAATCAACAACCCCATCCGATTTTCACCTACACTCCTATCCTTCAACACCTTCCAATATTTTTCCCTCACCCCTACTTGAGAATGGATTGCTTCACAGGTGTGAAGAGTCAAAACGATAGTAGCGCCACCCTTTGGTGCGGATGAATACACGAGCGAGAAAAAAGAGCGGCAATTCGTTTTTAGGCATTCCATGTGCTGACGACTGGTGATGAACGTGATCTGAGGGATGATGCAGGGTGGCCGATTAGATTAGTTATGTTGTTGGATATGAATCCTTTAAGTTTCAATTCACTTTTATCTTTCAGCTAATCAAGGTTATTATTGCAGTAATAGTAAACGTGCTAGTAATTTTAAATTAACTAAAGTCACTTCTACATGTTATATCTAGTAAATTATGTTAGTTAAAGTTAAAAATTCTCACAATGCAATATTTTTAGAAAATCATTTTTGATTCCTTAAATATATTTTTTCTCCATTCAAAAATAAGATATAACACTAGACAATAACTATTTCTGGAGATAATATGAAGGAAGACTCAAAACACTTACGAAAAAGGAAGTGTCATCAATAGGTCCATAGTAGTAAGAATTGTTCCGAGTAACAATTCTTTTCTGCTTCACTTCATCACTTCATTATCACAAATTAAAAGAATGCAAAAATTTAATTTATGAAATCTATTGGGAAAAATAATACATTATTTGTTATGAATATTATCTTTATTAATTTTTTTTAATAATTAAATGTAGTTATGAATAATATTTTAATAAAAAAATTCATGTTCACAAAAAATTGCAATTTACTTTAATTTTTTTTCTCCAGCAAGTAAATCTGTGACAGAATAAAATGTAAACAGTTTCTTAGAAATTGTTAAGCAACTAGAAAACTTTAGTTTCGTTCAGATGAGGCAAATTGCAAACAACATTACTTGCATGCATTACAGACGAGACAGGCTCAACCAAACCCCGATACCAGCATTATAACAAAACAAAAAAAAATTTTCAGAAACTAATGGAGAACTTCTTATAAAATCTAAATATATTTTTTTTCTACCCTAAAAAAAACACACAAGAATCTGTTTCGTTAAGTCATTTGGTATAAAATATATGCAAAGAGCATTAAGAATTTCGAAATTTTTAATATCATGGCCTGAAAATATTTAATTTTAAATAATGTATTCTATATGTCAGTAAATTTTGGCCTTATAAATAGCTTTTAAGAAATTCTCAGCGTTTTTATTTATCAAATCTTTTGCTCAAATCAAAAGATTTTGGGATTACTCTCAAAAAGTGAGTTTGAGCTCACTAGTTTGAGTTGAGCTAATTTCAATACACTTGGACTGGCTACATTTTCCCCATAAGAAGTTTTAGTTAATGACATCATCATCATTGGCACGACATAGTCTTCTCTAGAAGATTTCTCCGTGTCATTTTTCTTGTAACCAGATCTTACTAGTTCAAAATGCTGATTATTTTAAAATCCCAATGATTGAGTCATTCAAGTTTTGGATGTCCTCTAGCTTTACTAACAACTGGTTTGTGTAAGAATATCTTATGAGTTGGACTAGTTGTATCTAAACAAATGTGCCCAACAAATCTCATTGTTCAAATTTTATTATATCTATGTCCTCATAAATTATAAAAATTTCTGTAGAAAGTGCCCTCTTTGACTTTGCCAAAAATGGTTTGCAAGATGTTTTTTTTTACACAGATGGTTAACATAAGCTTCTTTCTTCGGGAGAGTCTAAGTTTCAGATGTATAGATAAGGATTGGGCATCTAATAGTTTTGCACAGGAGTAGTTTTGTATGCCTCTTTACGCATACTGATCTAAGGCCATTTAAACATTTTTAAAGTACATATTATTTTAACTTCTATTGCTTTATAAAACATAACATTGCTGCATAAAACATTAAGGTGAAACACTACACAAGGGTATCTCAAATTTCTTCCAGTCTTAAGTCATTGTTAAAAGGAAAAGGGTAACTAACAAAAAGGGTTTCTCTGAAATTAAATAAGTTCCTTTTTTCTGAGGAAACAATTTGAGCACACCAACAAAAACTGGGGAAAATGTCGAAACTAAGTGAATACAACACTAAAAAAAATTGAGTGACATAAAAAAAAGTTGCAAAACTTCTCTGGTTACTTGATGTCATAAAAAATTTCAAATTTTATTGACAATTAATTAAGGAGAACTACTTACAAAGCCTCCAATTGGAATTTTTACAGCCATTTTCCCCCAACCAATTCTTCTGTCTACCATGTTTTTCTTATCTGAAACAACATAAAAAGTTGTCAAATATTGGGGGACGGGTGCTGCTTGCTCTCCATCTAAAATTTTGATTAGCAAGAGAGTCAGTTAAAAACCTTCTAATACTGTCTTCAGCAGATGTATAACCATCATCCTTTTTTGGGGGGTTTTCACAATGTACCCTAATATAAACAGAAATTAACAAAAATGTATTACATAATGAAAAAATGGTAAACAGTAGAAAATTAAGTGTAAAAAAATACAGAATTGGAATAAATATACATCTCTAAATGAATACTTTGTACGCATAAAAGGCTAACATAAGCCTAAAAAAAGGGATGGATTTGTTTCTTTCTGTTGGCCACAACAATGCCTCAATTGCATCAAGAAACGAAACACGAATAATTCCTGATCGCGAGCACTAAGTTAAATAGCAATGACTTAATGAAATTTGAGGATCAGAACCAAAAGTCATAGAATAATTCAGTTTTTGCCACTATTTATCGCGACATAAATGAAAATTTTTGAATAAATTATTTAGGCCTAAATGTGTGGAATTATGTTCCTTTTCATTCAGTTAAGAAACCAGTAAAATACAGATAATTGAAATATGCAAGAAAGACAGAAGTAAATGCAAAACATTTCCATGACTTGCACTAGAAACTTGCAACAGAAAAACTTACATTGTACTACGTTCCCCCTTTTATATAATTTTTCACCGCATCTCCAAAATTCTCGAATTGTCTCAAAGACGACAGAACGTCTAAGATTCCAGAATCATCGCGTGAAAACCTCGCGAATGACAGCCAGTCTCGAAAACTATCGCGACTGGCAGAACAGAAAGGAACCAGTCCATAACAGTATCACGTGAATTTGGTTTCAAAAGTACAACCCTATTATAGTAAATGTTTTTTTCAGTATTCTGAGAAATACCGTGAGATAAAAAGGTAGGCATAAGGCGAATAAAAATATATAGTCTTAAAAATAATACCCGCATAATTTCTACTAAAATGTTTATTTTTGCCATTTTGTCTGAGCTCAAGGGGGGTGTTCAAACCCCTAAATCCCTCCCTTGCGTACGCCACTGTCAAGATTAACCGGTCGGCAATACTTTAGCCACCCATTCAGAATATCTGATATATAATGTTACAAAAAAGGGTCCATAACTAAACATCAGCTAAAATCTGGAAAAAGTTATAAAATCAACTTGTGTATAGCACTTCAATAACCAATAACAAATTATTTAACTGCCCTAATATACTGCAATGAATAAGAATGATAAGNAGAGATGGATTTCACTCAAACTTCGAAACTCCTTTTTCTCATTTATTATCCAGTGAGGAATTCTAGAAATGGTACTGGAAAATCAAAAGAAATTTCGAAGATACATTTTCATTGGCAAAAATTTGGAAAAAAGAGGAAGTTTAAATCAAAAGAAAAAAATTACTTTTTTGCGTTAACTTCAGAAACAGAACGAAAATTTAAAGAGCTGAAAAAAAAGTTAAAGCAGAAAATATGACGAAAAAAAAAATACTTAAAAAGATTAAAAAATAGCTTAAAAAAATATGGAGAAAAGAGTAAAAAAAAGTGATCTAATTATAATAATAATAAAAACATCATCGGATTACGCAATGATAAACATTCATAATTTAGAACGAACTGTGAACTTAAAACTGTGAGAAAAAAAATGAAAAACATTTTTTTTTAAATTATGTATTCAAACATATTTTACTTTCCATTCCATGCCTGAGAAAAAGTAACATTTTCCACGTTAACTGTGATTATATGTTGTAATTCCAAAAAAATTCTTGTTTTTACACATTTGTGTGGCCTATTTTTTTGTATCCTTAAAAAAGATTCATGGGTAGAGTTAATGCATTCATTATCAATGCATGAAGAATTTCAAAAAATATTTCTAAAAATTTTAAGGGATACATGCCTTTGGTAAGTTTATTCACAATGACTTAATAAACAGAGAGAACGTAATAATAATAAATGAATAAATAGTATTAGCATGTTAATTTTAGTTTGAATCTCGATACTTACCAATCAGGATGGACTCGCCAGTTATCACCACGAAAATACTCCATCCCTAAAACAAAGAAAATAATTTATTTGAACGGTCAAACAAATTAAAAATAAAAATACAAGAATGATTCGAAATGAAAATTTTAATTAAAAAAAGTTAAATTATGAAAACATAAAAAAAAGTAGAAGAATTTTACATTAGTCTTGATTTTCTAAACATAAATAAATATAAAATATGAAGAAAAGGAGTATAAAAAATTTAGCATCTTTTCTTTACTTATGGAAAGCTTGTTTAAAACTAGTCAATGTGTTAAAATAATAGTAACTCTCCAAACATTATTTAGACAAATGATTAATCTCTATGATCAATTATAACTTTCTTTCTTTTGCATGCAAGTCGAAAAAGGTCAGCAAGATTGTGCACATTAAAGAAATTTGAACTCATAATCCTCATAAAATAGTTAAAAAAATAATAAATTAATGAAAATGCATTGTTTGTTGATAATACGAGGAAGAGTTTAAATAGAAAACAAATGTCAAAAGTAGAAAATAACAGATAGTGAACTATTAAAAAAGGAAATTATTGAGACAATCTAATAGGTATTCAGCAAATAACAAATGAAATCTTATTAGGTCATGCTAAGTATAATAGAATATTAAATATTAAGTTTTAACTTTTGGGAGAGAACAACTAATCAAAAAATGAATTATTTATGTTAATCATACTTTTTATCGAAGGAAGCTCATGTTGCGTGAGTTTTAAATTTTTTCAATTATCCAAATATTTTATAATTTTGATCCTAATTCAACAGAGATAGATACATAAATTTGAAGTAATATCCTGTATATAAAAATTGCTGATGCATTGGTCATTATAAATATACATATGTTTTTTCATAACTAAAAGTAGCACAAAAATAATAAAAAGGTTANAGAACAACTAATCAAAAAATGAATTATTTATGTTAATCATACTTTTTATCTAAGGAAGCTCATGTTGCGTGAGTTTTACATTTTTTCAATTATCCAAATATTTTATAATTTTGATCCTAATTCAACAGAGATAGATACATAAATTTGAAGTAATATCCTGTAAGTAAAAATTGCTGATGCATTGGTCATTATAAATATACATTTGTTTTTCTATAACTAAATGTAGCACAAAAATAATAAAAAGGTTAAAGTATAATATAAAGCTGTTTCTATCAATACCTAAATGCTTATAAACTATGTCTCGATTTTTGCTTCTTATATGCATATGGGTTTATGTTTAAATAGAATCCTAAAACACATTCTAAAATTGAATTAATATCTAAATATTTTATAATCAAAATGTTTTTATCCCTAAAATCAAAATGCTTTCAAATATTGAAAAATTACATAATAAAATATAATTTTGGTGACAAAAAGTAACACTTACAATCTTCTTCTTTTCTTCTCACCTCAACTTTTCCGATTACTCTATAATGGCCATAAGGTTCAGGCAAAGAAACAGTTAATCTATAAGATACAATAAAATAAAAATGTTTCGTCAACACTTTGATAAGTAATAACAGTAATATAGAAAACTTAAATTTTCAGCATGAAAGAATCGAAACAGATGGCAACAAAATAGAAGTTAAGAATTCAAAACAAATTTTTCTATTTTCCGTTAAAAAACAGGAAGCGGATAACGGAAGATTTCAAGACAAATTATCTAATTCCGGAATAATTTAAAAAAAAGACTACTAAAGGAATTAATATAGATAACATATATGCAAGTTCGAATTTATATTGTCAAATCTCAAAAAAAGTAAAAATTGGTCGGAAAATAAATCATAAAAACAATAAATAGGAAATATAAAGCTAATCTATAAGAGACAAAAGTTTTTTTCGTCTTCAAAAATTTTAACTCTCATTCCTAATTAGATTAGTGCCTATAAAATAATAATTATTACAGTGCCTAATATGAGGAGGAAATACACAGTTTGCTTAATGCGTAAAATAATAAAGAACAAAGAAAGGAGAGAATAGTAATCTGAAGGATGTTGAAAAGTGCTATATTTACAAAATTTGAAATCAATAAATTGATGATTGAGAAATGATTCGAGTTGTTTATGATATGAATGAAAAATTCTGCGCAACATTTTCTTTTAAAGTAATAGAAGAAATTATTCAACGAGACAAAAGAAATTACATTAAAATTTAGAAAAAGTTATTGGAAATGATTTAAGAAATAAGTGCTGATATTAGTTCAAAACACTTTAATAAACAAGTGATATTAAGTAGCATTGGAAAAAAGTTACCAATGGTCTAAGCTCTGGATGAAAAAGTACATACTCATTATTTGTAATTGCAAATGAATAAGCATTGACTCCAATTCAAAAAAAAAAGAATAAATATTTTTATGCACATAATACAAACTTTTAACAATACATGAAATATGACACACACTGCAACCGCCATATGAAATTATAAATAACAAGTCTCTAAAAAAAGCAACGTAAAAATGTTTAACATAGGTTTGAAACTTAGTTCTTGACTCTACAATTTCTTAAATAAATGTAATAAAAATAATTGCATATGTTACTTTGCGATAGAAATATAAATCTTAAGATATTAGTAAAACTGTTTTAGTTAATAAGGGGATGTGTGTATGTTTTTATGGCAAGCAAATTATTGTGTTTTTAAAATTTGAAACTTTATTTAAAGTCAAACAGGAAAATACAGATATTTTTTTTTCCTTAAATTTACAAAATAGTTAAAGACATCAAATTTCAAACATGTAGTAGAAGTAGAATGAGTCACACACTCAACATTATCTACCACAAAAATAATTTCAAGCATACAAAGTAGATTAAAAATTTTTTTTGTAGAAGATTCATTCAAAAAATTTAATTATGCTGATAATTAGATTTCTAAGATAGTTTCAACTTCTTTTCAAATGAACAGTTTTGAATAGTATACATTGTAAAAACTGTAAGGTAACTTTATTGACCCTATGACAGTTAGAAATAGAAAAAGAAAGTCACATAATGACTTGTAGTTTGTTCTGCATTGTGAAATTAGAAAATAAACAGTGAAGTGGTGTACAGGACAGAACTTGCAAAGCAAATAGTAAATATTGCAGAAGTGAATAACTTGATTAAGTATATTCTTCCATCAATGCATAAAAATTTCTTAAACACGTAGTGAATATTTTAATGCTCCAAAATAAATTCTCTTAAAAAAATATGATTAAGAAGATTTGATTGTCAAAAATAATATACAGCAATTATTAATAACAGCCGTTTTCCATACGCTAATATTTTCCTTAATCTTCTAAGAAAAAAAAAACCTCACTTAATATCAAGTACTAAAAATTCCACATAAGAAGAAAAATGCAATCTTACTGCCATGATTATCAAAATTAAAAAATAAATAGTAAAAAGTTATATGAACAGAACCAATTCTGCGATTGGTCAAAATTTGCTCCAGCGCATTAAATATTATCGCACTGAGTGATC